AAGCGGGACGAAATACTCCATATGAACGCACAAAAATATTCGTCTCGGTAAGCGAGACGTCCCGGTAAGCGGGATCATATGAACAGGCCCATAGTCATAGACTGGAAGTAAACAATTTTAATAACTCCGTAACGATACAAATAAGTATAAGAATACAATGATAGTATATGTACAGTATTTGCTTGTTGCCAGTATTTGTCAGCTTGTTGTCGGTACGTAATTGTCTGCTTGTTGTCAGTTGTTGACGGTAGTTGTTGGTAATAGATCTCAAAGCTATATTTTGGTTAACATTGTTTTTAATATACATTATATATATATATATATATATATATATATATATATATATATATATATATATATATATATATATATATATATATATATATATATATAATATATATAGTTAGATATCGTTCTATTAGTCCGTGTGTTGTGACCCGATATCGTTCACTTTCATTAAGCATGTCTTAGATCTGAAATATTTTTGCGGGAACTAACACTTTCGAACACGCTGAGTTCAAATCCGAAAAGTTCCCACTCCGTAGACCCGCAGTTTTTTCACAAAATGCTATTTTATCTTCACTAATTTCACAGCAAATTTTTTCATTGTTCAACGATACGGATCGATGACGAGACAAGATTATGTCACTCAAAAGGGCCAATTTCAATTAACAATTCTTCCTTTTAACAAAAGATCGGTTTTGCTCGAATCATTTTGAGTTATGCAATCTTATGCTTGTTGGACGTAAACAACATATTTTGTCTACAACTTTGAGAAGGTACAGATAACGCTTTCTAAAACCCTCAGTTCTACAGATATCTCTATAAAATCACAAGGACATTAATGTCAAGTCTTTTAGCTATGTCACTGGCGAGAAAAGTAACTAATTTAACGCGATCGAGATATTTAAAACAAATGTAACGCAAAGCCAACGTAACGGCAAAGACAACGTTAAAACGAAATATTGTCGAATGCTTGCAGGTAGAAGACTTACGACAGCATCAATCTTAAAAAACCTTAAGCTATAAGAATAAATGTTCACATCAAAGACAAAGATCAGTCACAACGTATAAAATATGCTCTGTAAACTTACCGCGAAGTGGAGAAATGTGTGCATGAGCTGTTTATTCGATGATTTCGACGAATATAGAAGCCCTTTTTCCAATAATACTCGCTTATCGCACAGTATAACACCAACTGATATAATAGTTCAAATGCAATGATAAGTTATCTCTTGAATTACGTCTTGGAAACCGTGTTGGAAATTTCCATGCTGATCCATTACATATAGATTCCCGTTTTATATCTTTGTATAAAACATTTTGATCCCATGTAAGAAATTATTTCTCAGCCCAGAGACATAGCCCAAAGACTTGACATTAACGTCCTTTTGATTTTATAGAGATAGTTCCAGAACTAAGAATATTATAAAGAATTATCTGTACCTTCTCAAAGTTGTAGACAAGATATGTTGTTTACGTCCAACACGCATAAGATTGCATAACTCAGAATGATTCGAGCAAAACCGGTTTTTTGTTAAAAAGAAGAATGGTTAATAGAAATTGGTCCTTTTGAGTGACATAATCTTGTATCGTCATCGATCCGTATCGTTGAACAATGAAAAAATTTGCTGTGAAATTAGTGAAGATAAAATAGCATTTTGTGAAAAAACTGCGGGTCTACGGAGTGGGAACTTTTCGGATTTGAACTCAGCGTGTTCGAAAGTGTTAGTTCCCGTAAAAGTATTTCAGTTCTAAGACATGCTTAATGAAAATTGTTTTCTAGGCACTTTTCGAGGTCACAACACACGGACTAAAAACTTGCATTCAGACTTAGAAACGGAAAAAGCGTTTCACCTAACTTCCACAAATAAGACAAAGCCTTTTCAAATAACATAAAGTGAGAAATATTTGCATATTTTAAAACACTGTCATCATTGACATGCGGGAGTTTTAGACATCGTTCTCGCTCCATTTACAACGGCAAACCGGAGATTATTACGTATTGTGTACGCCTGTATTTTTAGATATTATCAACAATACAGCCTTGTCTTAACCTTCCCAAACGTTTTAATTAGATACGATTGATAATAGTATACACAACAGTTTTGTTTTATTTAAACTGGTTACAGACGAGCAAGTTTTCTATGACAAATATTCATATGACAAGTTTTATTATTTCCTTGTCTCCATGCATAGGCAACTTTGGCAATTTTTATCCTGGCAAGTGTACTAGTGTTCAAAAGCTGGCATGCTTGGCAGGGGCGCCGGAAGGACACCAGAGCGGCGGGGGCAGAATCTTGAAAAGGGGCACTTTCAGTCATTTACCTGTAATTGTCAAACAAACCTAACAAAATTTTAAAATCAGTATAACAAGCCGCCTGGCTATATTCATTAAATTAATATATGTTACTAGAGGAAATGTACAGACTCACGGCAAATGCAACACTCATCTCGTCGATTTCTTCGGAACCTCTTTACACGATCTGTACTTCGTCAATCGTCGACCAAGACGACCAGCGACGAACGCTAATAATTAGCTCGGCCTCATTCCTTCCCTTGACGCAACTCATTCGCAAACGGTTTTCACTTGTTTCCATCTACCAAACTGACGTTACGTCGTTTGATCAATTTCTAAAGTTGTTTCTATTTCGATTTTTTTATTAATTGGGTTAGGGTTGGAGTTAGGGTTGTGGTTATGGTTATGGTCATGAGTTAGAGAAGGGGTAGGTTTTTGGTTAGTTACATACTCATTTAACACCTCTTCCATGTTCCGAAAATGACGTCATGTCAGTTTTGTGGATGGAAACAATTAAGTGCTGACCTTCGCAAACTTGCAAATGTCCCGGTAAGCATAGGGCAAAGATCCAAAATATCCATGCAAAATGAAGTACTAAACCTAATAGTTAATAATAGCGTGGCGGTCAGAAAACCAGAAACTTGTTGTATAGAAAATTTGTTGTACGTGCACACGTGCAATGGACAAAAATAACTTGCCGTATGAAAATTTGTCACAAGTTTGAACTCAGGGCGGGCCAATCAGGACCTAGTACTTATTTCTAGACACACAGTTGTAAATTCGAACAAGGATTGTCAGTAACTTAAGCACCGTTTACAGTACGCTCAATTTTTGGTACGGCACGGATAAAATTGGTACCCGTACCATGTCACGGTTCATGATTCAGCAAAATTGTATTATTTTCCTCGTGATAGATTTTATAAAAGTACAATTGAAAGGGAAAGAATGTTCAAGAATTATTTAAAACATGAGCAGCAGTGTTTTATCAGGTCAGTATAAATACACGAGGCGAAGCCGAGTATCTTTAGGTCTGATAAAACAGGCACTGCGAATGTTTTAAATTGCTTCAAAAACGACCGATCTAGTAAGTTAACTGGCAAAGTAATTTTCAAAAAATACGCTGTGTAAGTAAAAGGTAATGTAAATCAAGGGATATCTCTATAACACATAAATATACGCCACGCTTATGATTTTTCTTTGTATTTTCCTCATGAATTATTAATGAGTTTTTGAAGCAGCATGCAGTAATATATAATCTTTTTGAACTGCGAGATCTTCTCGCTAACGTTTCAGTTCCTTTATTGCGGCGTTTGAACTTTCGTTTAAGCCTAGTGACTTATTTATATACATAAAAATTATCCTGCCTTCCATCCCCTCCGGCAAACTGGGATCATGTAAACAGACCCTTACTCAATGATGTATCGTACTATATAGCCTGTGTACCTGATGGTTCATACTTAATTGGCAAGTTGAAGCGCAGATAAGTGAAAATTGAGAAATAAAAAAGAGTGTGGACCTCAAGTTTAACGCACGAATATATTTTTGAATAGGGTAGGGATGATATTTAACAATTAGTCGCCTCAGGCTCGGTGATTACAAGCCTATGTTCACTAAACCAAAGGCGAAGTGAATATTGGCTTGTAATCAGCGAGCCTGAGTCGACTAATTGGTTTAGCATAATTTCAGCATTGAAAAAGTTTTATGTACTATTTAAAATACTCATTAATAATTCATAAACCTTGTGGTAAATCATGTCAGCCATAATATGTCACGTGGAGTGATTTATATCTGATAAAACACATGTGGCATTATATAATTGTTTCATCTTAATTAGCATGATTATACTAGGGTTCATCCTAATTAGTATTCTTTTGTAGTCGTATTTTAAGCTATTCAAAACACTCGTTGTTGTGTTTTATCAGATATATAACGCTCGGCTGCGCCTCGCGTTATATATCTGATAAAACACTCCCACTCGTGTTTTAAATAGTACTTAAAGCACGCGTAGGAGTGTTTTATCACATATAAAACGCGAATTCGAGTGTTTTGAATAGCTTAAAATACGACTACAAAAGAATACTAATTAGGATGAACAATTATATAATCATACTAATTAGGATGAAGAATTATATAAAGAATACTAATGAAGATGACTTTTATCAGATATAAAGTCACTCCACGTGACATATTATGGCTGACATGATTTGCCACAAGGTTTTTGAATTTTTAATGAGTCTTTTAATTATAAATAAAATATTTCAAACGTCGCGCCTCTCATGTGCCGAAAGCATTAAAAACAATAGATAATCAGCTGAAATGCCTCATTATCTATTGTTTCTAATGCATTCGGCACATGTCACATGAGAAGCGCCACGTTTGAGACAGGCCTAATACACGTGTTTATTTTATGAATATAATTTGCATTAATAATTTACATCCGTCTGATTTTCAGCCATTCTTTGGGAAAAGCAATAGTTACTGCTCAGAGAAGTCTGAGCAGTAACTATTTGCCTCAGACTCAGAGTTACTGCTGAGAGAGCCAATCAGGATTCTCAGAATCAGCAGGCCATTTTTCAAAACTAAAATTATAATAATAACCAATACTACTTTGTGAGTTGACTGAGTTCTACGTATATATTAGAATATGAATAATTAATACAAAATAAAAAGATTAATATACAATTTAACCAAACATATTGGCATACAATTAATTTTGAAATATCAATAAATTGAAATACTACTTTCTACATCTTCTGTGCTTAGCCAGTTCTTGAACTAAACACTTAGGTTGTTGGTAATCTCAGGTTGTCCCTCTCCATCCGGGTTGATGAGGTTGTAGGTGGTTTCCCTGGGTTTGTTAAGCAAATGGTCTCCCTGGCTTTGTTGATGTAGGCGGAGGTGGTTTGTCAGGCTTTGTTGATGTGAGTGCAGATGTTTTCTCTGGCTTTGTTGATGTGGGTGTATGTGGTTTGTCTGGCTTTCTTGATGTGAGTGCAGATGGTTCCTGTGGCGTTGTTGGTGTAAGTGTATGTGGTTTGTCTGGCCTTATTGATGTGGGTGCAGCTGGTTTTTCTGGCTCTGTTGGTGCGGGTGTATGTGGTTTGTCTGGCTTTGTTGATGTGATTGTTGGTGCGGATGGCCCCTCTGGCTTTGTTGGTGTTGGTGTTGGTGCATGGGGTATGTCTGGCTTTGTTAGTGTGGTATGCGGTTTCTCTGGTTTTGTTGATGTGACTACAGATGGTTTCTCTGGCTTTGTTGATGTGGGTGCAGATGGTTTCTTTGGCTTTGTTGGTGTGGGTGCAGGTGGTTTTTCTGGCTTTGTTGATGTGGCTGCAGCTGCTTTCCCTAACTTTGTTGATGTGGCTGCAGGTGGTTTGTCTGAATTTGCTGATATGCGTGCAGGTGATTTCTCTGGCTTTGTTAATGTGGCTGCAGCTGGTGTGTCTGGCTTTGTTAATGTGGCTGCAGCTGGTTTGCCTGGCTTTGTTAATGTGGCTGCAGATGGTTTCTCTGGCTTTGTTGATGTAGCTGCAGGTGATTTCTCTGGCTTTTTTAATGTGGAAGCAGCTGGTTTCTCAGGCTTTACATTTGTTGATCTAGCTGCAGGTGGCTTGTCTGACTTTGTTGATGTAGCTGCAGATGGTTTCTCTGGCTTTGTTGTTGATGTAGCTGCAGGTGGTTTGTTTGGCTTTGTTGATGTGATTGTAGCTGGTTTCTCTGACTTTATTGATGTGAGTGCATATGATTCCTCTGGCTTTGTTGGTGTGGGTGTATGTGGTTTGTCTTGCTTTGTAGATGGGGGTGATATCTTTACCTTTGGTGATTTGGATGCAGATGCAGAAGCATTTGTTGATGTGGGAGCATCCACTCCCTCTGTTTGTGTACATGTGATTGTAGTCAATCTCGTTCTGTCATCTCTCAATTTAGAACACGGCTCAGAAAAGAGATCTTTATCACCATGGAATATCTTATTCCAAAAAAAGTAAACCACCCTTGAATGGAACGCCAATCTGAAACCAGAAAGTATAACAATGCCCCCCTTCAGAGATTCGTCTGAAAACCGTCCTTCGATCACAGGCGCGACATCGTATGCTACATCAAACATGACAGCGAGAAGTTTGAAGACTGTTTCGATAAAGTACATAACAAGAGCAAACCAGTAAAAGAAAAAAATGGTATGCTGACCAGAATTCCAGCGTACTTGCGGCGTGTAATTTAAAATCGAGATAACAACCCACATTACGACAGGCCAAATCAACAGAAAAACTGATGTTGCGCCGCCTACTCCATTCAATCCTTTACTGACAATTCGAAAAACTTAATATACTATCGTTAGTAACGATAATATGGTAAAGGATATAAACGAGCCCTTCAACCACTTCATTTTCTTACTGCGAAATTCCAGCAACTTTAGCTTTTTAGCAATGTAAAGGATACATAAAAATATAATAGAAGATATGAGTGACAAAATTATCCACGCAAGGATCCAAGATTCTGTGTCCGGGAAAATGCCATCTTGATTACAATCGATTACTGAAGCGCGTTCAAAAATCATACACTTCGTGTCGTAAGTGGTGAAATTGATAAATGAAAAGAGACGAACAATGACCAACATGCTGAAGAGGAACTGAAAATAAATGTGTTTATCTTAAGTCTTCAGAATTTAAAATGCAGACATTGGACCATAGAAATATTAGATATAGAGTAGCCTATGCATGCATTTCTATGTCTTCCAAGTAAAAATTTTGTCGCCACAAAATGGCGGATTTATAAGGACATTTTAGGTCTTGATCTATATATACAGTAATCGTTGAATGTTTGAAAACACAGTTTAAAGGATGCTGTAAAAGCCATAGCTGAACAAAGCTCAAAGACAAAGGATAACGAGAAACACAATACGTATGTTTTATAATATACACGGAGTTCAATATTTCACAAACTGTTAGCAAAACAGTGACACTCAGAGCAAGCTAGAACGTTCCAAAACTCAAAAGTAAATGATATTTAAGCGAAACCACTACATCTTCAACTCAGCTGTCATTATTGGACGATTACGTCATTATACGAAATTATACAATGACCTCAATTACAAATCAAAATAAACTCAGACGAAGACACATTTTATGTATTCTGTACCAGAATCAACGATTGTATGCCATATAGCTTATGCAGCAAATATATTTTTATTGTAAGTTAGATAGCAAAGCCAATGAGATGTTTCGACCATTAAATTTGGTCTAGTTTTGTTGATGTATTATTGATCACTGGTTTAAATTTTGTAGTGTTCTCGATCATTTCTAGTCAAATTAATATACCCGATTAATAAGGCATCGTGCATAAGAAAAGTGTAGTCAATTAAACGAATTCAATTTCTATCTATAATACGTACCATAAGAAAACAACATAATCTGCGTTTGCTTTCTTGCTCACTACCCACAGCACCAAAATCAGCCATCTACTTTGTTACTCTAATTTAAATCTTTGCTATTAAAATTTTGGCACTCTTCGGAAGAAGCTATATGCTCATTGCATGAGAACATGAAGGCAATAAAATAAAAACGGGAAAAAATGCACTCAAGCAACTTCCTGGAATATGATAAAGCTTTTATCAGACTCCATAAAGAGAAAACAATTTCCTCATACCAAGTTATATAACAATGTTAATCAAGTTTTTAGTGTAAATTCGTACATATATTACCACCAAATTGCTGTAACTTGAAACAGAAGTCAATTAAACGAATCTAGAATTCTTATTCGAATTCATCCCTATATTCAAAGCTTGATTACTCGAATTTATATGCCACGTTTCTACAGGCAACGTATTTGGCGATAGCGATTGTTAGTGTTAACGACTCTAGAGTTTACCCGCGCAATCGGCGTATTTGGTGTCACGCGCATGTTGTGCTAAAGCTAAAATGTTAAATTCCCCTTATTTAAAGTTGAAACAGCCTTTTGATGTTCTTTTAGGCGTGTGGGAAATTGGGCTGACCCATGCAGATAGTCTAGATCTTTCTCACAGTCACCCCTGATGAAGACTGGTGTGAAACCTTGGAAACCATTCATAAAAAAACAGAGTAGCGAACGAAAACGTGAAAAATATATACGCAAAGAACATTAATTATATGATATATGAAATACAGTTCGCCACGAAATTCTCCACAAAAGCGTTTCACGGTTTTTTGTTTACGATTTTCATTACAGACGCTGCTTTCACACCCAAAAATATAAGGCATTCGGGTAACAGTTAGTGAATGCGCGCAGGGTGTCGTGGAAGCCGTTCAGAGGGACTGAGGCCTCATGGTCGTCGCAAAAAGGCTTAAGCTAGGGAGGGGGGGGGGGTATTGTATTTGCCGACAAAAGTTCAAATTTTGCCGACATAATTTCAACCACTAATTAATATTTAATTTCGCTTTTTTTTTTGGGGGGGGGGTAAACAATTTTCCGCACATTGTCTTTTTCATTATCGTAACGGTTAACGTATCGTTATTTTTTTCATTTTTGCTTATTGTTTGCGTAAATTTTTCCAAATTCTAGCTCCAATTATAAATTTTTAATCAGTCTCACTCAAATATTGGGGTTTTTTCCCCTTTCTATATCACGTTCATGTTTTGTCGACTGCGAAAATTTGTCGACAATTTGCCGACAAGATGTTTTTAGGGGGTGTCACATCCCTTACCTTCCCCCCTGCCCTCTGGCAAAGGCCCTAGAGTGTCCTTGTTAAAATATCCTTCCAGTTTGGGGAAGAAGGCTGAGTCCCCTTTAAGGTTTTTATCAAGCTTAAGCCTGAAATAGTCTTTGAGTTTGTAGATGACATCATAGGCGTACGGGGCGGGGGGGCGGGGAGGGGCGGTAGCCCCCCCAGTTTTTTGGGCAGTTGGGCAATATCCCAGTTTTTTGGGCAGATTGGGCAAAATTTTTGGGCAATTTTGGTTTGCAATTAAAAAAAATGGGACAAATTATGTCAATTTTGTCTAAAATTAAGTAAATTTTTTTGGCAAATTTTGTGATTTTTGGAAAATTTGTTTTATGTTCCGAAAAATATTGGTTGTCCGGAAAAATTTTTTGACCCCTAAAATGGTACACTGACCGAAATTTTTTTGGCGACGGGGGGGGGGGAGGTCGCCAAAATAATTTTTCCGGAAAAATTTTTTTGATATTTTTTGGGCAATGTGGAATTTTTTGGGCAAAAAAGCTACCGCCCCCCCAGAATTTAGCGGCCCCGTACGCCTATGGATGACATCATCCCTTGAGTTTATGAGAAACAATGTCAAGCCCAAGATAAACAAATAAAGATTTGTTTTAACAACTATGTTTTAATTTCAATAGAATACATGATAGTGTTGGGAAAATATTAAGTGAACAGCTAACCAAGGTCGCATGACTTCCAACTACTATGTACTATATATCGTCCCCGTTTGATCCGGGCTCAACGTTATAACTTGGTCGTTATAACGATCATTATAACTTGGTTAATTTAATCAGATTTGGCATTATTGTTAGTCAATTAAAACACCGTTATTTCAATTTATCTCTATTCAACTTTGTAATACTATTTTTCCTTATATTGGGGATGGTATTCTGACTAATGAGCCCTGATGTAATTGCGTTTCCTCACTATAAATTTTTACACATCACTTAAAATGCAGGAAAGCCTGTTTCAAAGATTCTAGAATAAACAGCACCACTGTCCATATTGTGTACGAAACATGACGATATAGCCCAAAAATGTACGAATTGACAGTAAGGCAAAGCAAGTTAGCTAAAACAACACTGCTAAAACAAATATATCACTTTGCGCATTCTATTGTAATATGACCAATAGTATGCATGAAAAATTATTGATTGGCTAACAACAGTCCAATTTTATTGAACTTTTATTGGACAATGCATTTTCAACCGCATTTGAATTGAATTGGATTGATATTTGGTCGTTTCTAACGCAATGATACATACTAAAAAGTGTGATTTGATTTGACAGCTAAACGCCTGAATTGTAGAAACCAAAGTTAGATTACGTTCTTCTCATAACTTAGATTTTCATTTCTTCTATACCTATAAATTTAACTTTGAAACAAATGATAGTGATGTTAACTTTATTTTATTACAACGACGTGTCGATGCTTCTTGCATCATTTTCAAGTTAACAATAAGAATTATTCGTGTTTTGCTTTAATTAATTATAACGGTCCGTGTGTTCGTGTCACGTAAACAAATAATTGCGCAAGCATGCAGAATTTTTACTAAATGCGCAAAACAAAAAATACTAAAATATTAAACAAACAATAAAAACATTTAACTGTTTACACATAAGACAAACACAACAAACAAGATTAACAAATTAATATTAAGCAAAAAGCTTAGAACGTATCGAGTCGGACTGAGTGTTCAAAGATGGTTTCAGTTCCCTAATGTAAAGCATCTCGTAGAGAAGGCACTCGTACTTTCCTCGACACTTGCGCACAATCGAAAAGCAGTTTTCAATCCTTGATGAGCTTTCTCCATGATTATCACGCATATGGATTCCTACCACTGATCCCCTGTGTTCATCAATGCGTTGATAAGTATAGCGACAAGTATAGCCAACATAATCTGCATCGCACAGATCACATTTTAATTTGTAAACAACGCATTGATGATTCACAAGGGACGGCTTCAGTTCCTGTACTTTAACATCATCGCGAACCTTTCTGCTTATGAAAACCGGTCGTAGAGCTTTCCCTATCTTCACGGGTCTTGGATCGTTGATAGGGAAAGCTGGCGACCGGTTTTCACAAGCAGAAAGGTTCGTGATGATGTTAAAGTACAGAAACTGAAGCCGCCCCTTGTGAATCATCAATGCGTTGTTTACAAATTAAAATGTGATCTGTGCGATGCAGATTATGTTGGCTATACTTGTCGACACCTACATCAACGCATTGATGAACACAGGGGATCAGTGGTAGGAATCCATATGCGTGATAATCATGGAGAAAGCTCATCAAGGATT